GGAAGGGAAGGGAAGGGAAGGGAAGGGAAGGGAAGGGAAGGGAAGGGAAGGGAAGGGAAGGGAAGGGAAGGGAAGGGAAGGGAAGGGAAGGGAAGGGAAGGGAAGGGAAGGGAAGGGAAGGGAAGGGAAGGGAAGGGAAGGGAAGGGAAGGGAAGGGAAGGGAAGGGAAGGGAAGGGAAGGGAAGGGAAGGGAAGGGAAGGGAAGGGAAGGGAAGGGAAGGAAAGGAAAGGAAAGGAAAGGAAAAGAAAGGAAAGGAAAGGAAAGGAAGAAAGAAAGAAAAGAAAAGAAAAGAAAAGAAAGAAAGAAAAGAAAAGAAAAGAAAAGAAAGAAAGAAAAGAAAAGAAAAGAAAAGAAAGAAAGAAAAGAAAAGAAAAGAAAAGAAAAGAAAAGAAAAGAAAAGAAAAGAAAAGAAAAGAAAAGAAAAGAAAAGAAAAGAAAAGAAAAGAAAAGAAAAGAAAAGAAAAGAAAAGAAAAGAAAAGAAAAGAAAAGAAAAGAAAAGAAAAGAAAAGAAAAGAGACAGAACATAAAAATAGAGCTTCAGGGTAACAATTTGAAAAATGAGAGGAACTGTTCTATAGCTGATCTTCTTACAACCCCAGCCCACATGTAAGTTCAGACGTTGCCCTATATATGTAGAGATATTAGAATCATAGAGTAGTATAATGGCTAGAGTTGGAAGGCACCTTAAAGATCATCTAGTTCCATCCCCCTTGTGTGAAAAGAGACATGTCCCGCTAGATCAGGTTGCTCCAAGCCCCATCCATCCTGGCCTTGAGGACCCCAATGGAGGGGGCATCCACAACCTCCCTGGGCAACCTGGGCCAGCATCCCACCACCCTCACAGGAAAGAAAAAAGAAAAGAAAAGAAAAGAAAAGAAAAGAAAAGAAAAGAAAGAAAGAAAAGAAAAGAAAAGAAAAGAAAGAAAGAAAAGAAAAGAAAAGAAAAGAAAGAAAGAAAAGAAAAGAAAAGAAAAGAAAGAAAGAAAAGAAAAGAAAAGAAAAGAAAAGAAAAGAAAAGAAAAGAAAAGAAAAGAAAAGAAAAGAAAAGAAAAGAAAAGAAAAGAAAAGAGACAGAACATAAAAATAGAGCTTCAGGGTAACAATTTGAAAAATGAGAGGAACTGTTCTATAGCTGATCTTCTTACAACCCCAGCCCACATGTAAGTTCAGACGTTGCCCTATATATGTAGAGATATTAGAATCATAGAGTAGTATAATGGCTAGAGTTGGAAGGCACCTTAAAGATCATCTAGTTCCATCCCCCTTGTGTGAAAAGAGACATGTCCCGCTAGATCAGGTTGCTCCAAGCCCCATCCATCCTGGCCTTGAGGACCCCAATGGAGGGGGCATCCACAACCTCCCTGGGCAACCTGGGCCAGCATCCCACCACCCTCACAAGAAAGAACTTTTTCCTAATGTCCAACCTGAATCTCCCCTCTTTAAGCTTAATATCTTATGTTAAGCATAGAAATAATCCAAAGGAACATTATCTCACTCTATTACATGTGAGTAAATATAGTTACTAGTACAGTTATCTATCATACAAATATCCATAATCTGGGGCAGGATACCTAAATATATGGTGTCAGGGAAAAGGGCAGCAGCAGCATGTGGGCATTTGAAGGCAGATGGTGGTTGCATATTCCCTCATTGGGTGCTTATTTATCTATATATACACACACAACTATAACTCTACATACGTGTGTTACCCCAACACTCATTAGGCAAACTCTGACTTTTACTGTAATTCAGAGCATAATGTGTAAATCTAATTGACTTCCCAGTAGCTTAATTTATTAGTGAAAATTAGCTTGATGTATCAAGGCTAAAAGCCTGTAGAGCAGAGTTGTCATGGAACTTTCTTCAGTGCATTAGCAAGGCCTCAGACGTAGAATGTTATGTTAATAAAAGACAAGTCTGGTCCTGCAGCCACCAGGAAGTTCACGTTGTCAAAAATGTGAATTGCTTCATAGTGTCTAAAAGCAGCTAAAATGCAATCATAATTTAGGTATATGTACTGTACTATTATAAAAAACCTCTTCATTTTACAAACCTACATTAATGGAATGTTTAAACAGTCATTACTGATGTAATGAAATGAAAAATGAGCTCAAATATAATATTTTAACATCAGAGTAACCAGCTACCACCTGTGTTTGGTAATTTTCATTTCTTCCTTTTTAGATGATAGGAAAAATACAGCTAGATTTCAAACATTTACATTTTTAAAAAATGTGTTGTTCTGATCAATCAATATAACATGTCAGAATACCAGGAACATCAGGTTTAAATCTTCTTATTATAGGCCTAGTCTTTCTGCAATACAAATCCTAGAAAGTTTGCAAAATCACATTTCAGGATTTTAGCCTCTCTACAAAACTAATAAACTAAAACTGGAATTTTATGAGTAAAACAAATAAATTAAAACAATTGGAAAGTTTTTTGCTGTTTCTTCTTACCCTGCTTCTGTGGGTCAGGCTACTGAGTGAGGTGTCTTGGTGTAAGGAACCAGTTTTATTATGAAATACCAATTTCAGTGGCAGCAGCCTAAGAAAGACAGTATGAAAGAGGGATCAAGGAACAGTGGCTTGTTCTTTGATCCTCTGCCAAATAAAAACACAGCTAAAAATTCCCACAGGATATCCTGAAGTTGATATTCTGAGTTCAGATTTGAGCACCATAAGCATCTCAACCTGAGCTATATCCCTGTTAATAAAGTTGGGTGTTGGAAGGCCCCAGAGGGAAAACAGGCCAGTCAAAAATATTCTGCAGAGACATCCCTGTTATTTTGCCCAGAATGTGAAGCACAGCTACAGCCCTTCTGCAGCAGCTGGTAATTCTAGTCTGATGCAGCAGGTTGACTTGATCTCCACTGGAAAAAGTGTGCTCAGAGCACTGGTGATTTCTCTTCAGAATTAGACTTGCCCAATATTTGCAAATGTCCAAGAAATCTGGTATGTAATGTCTTGAAAGCAGATGGAGTTGGGCAGAGAAGCCAGGAGAACAAGGGTGTTCTCATCATGGCTTTCAGGATTAACCCTCCAGTGTTACTAGCAGGTCGTTTGTTCACATTTCATGTTGAATCATTCCATTCAAAGCAACAGCACAGGACCTGGGAGGGGGGGATGCTGAAAAAGATTGAAGTGGTTTAGCAAAAATTTCAGCTGCTTTCTAGACTCTCACCATCATCTTCACACTAAACCCTCTGGTTTTTGTTTTACAAGATCAAAAGGCCATCTGTTTTTTTTTAGAGGAAAGAGATAAATCAATGGATTTAAAATTATTAAGGAGTTTGAAAAAGTATTAAATATAAAATGTAGTTTATGCTGTATGAAAAAGACTCCCTTTACTCTTATGTTGCCTAAGATGCTCTCTTTTTCAGGATCAAAATCAATCTTCATTTGGATTTTACTTTTATTAAAACTCTTCTCACAATGGCATTTCCAGTTTCACCATATGTTCAGGGTTAAAGAACAACCTGAAGCCCTGTGATTACTCCGGAGGACACAGGACTAAGCTCATCTAAACATTTAACCTGCTGTAGTGGTCAATGAAACGTTGGAAAGATTTTTGTCACCAGATGAGGGGCCAGTGGCAGAGCTATTTGCAGTCAGCTGCTCCAGGTTCCTCTGTGTCTGTGCACGATGCAGCAGCACCACTTGGTGGCTTAAGGCAGCTCCTCTTCACTCATCCCTCAGCACCCACCTTGAGCCAAAACCCACTGAGGATTCAGGAAAGTCTGATTTCGGTGCATTTCGGGTGAAACACTGAGTAGGATGCAATTGCAATATTTGAAATCATATTAAACAAATCAGCGTGGATTTCAGCACAATATTTTTGGAAACCTGTGAGTCTTTCTTATTTTAGAATCCTCTCCCCTTCAAAAAAAATCCAAACCAAAACACACACACAAAAAAACCAAACAAACAAACCAACCACAAAAAAAACCAACAACAAACAAAACAAAAAACCCCACACCACAAAACCAAAAAAACCCAAAACAACAAAATGTAGGCTGACCTGCTAGAAAGCAGCCCTGTGGAGAAAGAATTTGGGGTTCTGGTGGACAACAAATTATCCATGGAACAACAATGTGCCCTCATGGCCAAGAGAGCCAATAGTATCCTGGGATGCATCAAGAACATTGTGGTCAGCAGGTCAAGGGAAGTTCTCCTCCCCCTCTACTCTGACCTACATCTGGGGTGGGGTGTCCAGTTCAGGGCTCCCCAGTTCAAGAGGGACAGGGATTTACTGGAAAGAGTCCAATGGAGGCTACAAGGATGATGAAGGGACTGGAACACCTGCCTGATGAGGAAAGGCTGAGAGACCTGGGGCTGTGTAGTCTTGAGAAAAGACTGAGAGGGAACCTTATTAATGTTTATAAATATCCAAAGGATGGATGTCAGGAATGGGCCAGTCTCTTTTCAGTGGTGCTTGTGATAGGATGAGGGGAAATGGACACAAACTAGAGCACAGGAAGTTCCACCTCAACATGAGAAGAAACTTCTTTACCGTGATGTTGACCGAGCCCTGGGACAGGCTGCCCAGAGAGGTTGTGGAGTCTCCATCTCTGGAGACTTTCAAGACCCAACTGGACACGTTCCTGTGTGAGCTGCCCTGGGTGTTCCTGCTGTAGCAGGGGGGTTGGACTTGATCTCTAGATGTGCCTTCCAACCCCATGCGATTCTATGATTCTGTGATTCTATGATTCTATGAAAAAAACCACACCAAAAACAAAAACAAAAACTCTCCAATCTCTTTTTCATGCCCTTGCTAGAGTTTGATGAAACTCCACAATAACCAGATAAAACAATACAATGCAATGGACCATCTTCTGAAAACCCCTTTCCAGCCATAAGTATACAGTAATGGTCTTGAAAAAAAGGGTTTAAACAAAATTTTCTTGCAGTTCTCCTCTAGGATCTGCTACGTCCACTCCTCTTATTGTAAGGAAAGTATTAGCAAGATCAAATTAATGATTTTTTCTTCTAATTTCAGGTTGGGAAGTAGATAATTTGGGGCAAACCCATGCAGGTAAGAAGTGATTTTGTTCATCTCTATTCTCAAAAATGGTGTGAAGAGCACATGATAATATAAGATTATTGAAAAGTTCTCTGTTTATCAGCAATTATGATAATAAATATCTGTGGTTCATTGTAACACTGATAAGAAGTGGAAGTAAAAATCTGATCAGTTTCTAGAAATCAATATGATTTAACCTAAACCCACAAAATTAAACTGTCTTACTTAAAGCAAATTAATTATTGATTTTTGTCATTGAAGCAAGGAAATATTTTATCTTTACTTCTTTGAAAACTGGCAACACTTAAATATCTATGGATTATAAGTTAAAAGTTCTAAAGATAAATTGTCTTATTTTTGTATTTTCACAATATAATTGGCTGTAGTGTGATTGTATGTATTTTTAGCACTGTGCCCACTGCTTGCAGGAGCAATTTTATAAGTTCAACTTTAATTTAGACTCACAAGTAAAACTGTTTACTTCCTGAAATGGCAGAGTCAAGAATTTCTTGCCTTTGGGCTCATCCAAACAAATGCAAATCGATTGGATTCTATTCACTGATTTCCACTGAGGCCAGTTTGTGCCCTAATAGAAAACACAAACAAAACAATTTCATACCAAATTTCCATTTTTATAGGTGATTATGACCTGCTGGAAAGCACAGCCCAGTCTCCCTTAGGTAAGCAGGAGAACCATGGAATGTTTTTCTTTTTATTTTAACTCTCTTAAACAGGAAGCTCCAAGTTTTTTCTCCTGCCATGTAGATATTATTTTAATTATGGTGACACATTTTCTGGTGTGTTACTTTTAGCAATATTATGAAAATGTATTCTTCCCCTAGTTAGCTTACTAATCTAACATGTTCTTATAAATTATATCAACCTACTTAAAAATAATTACTAAACATTGTTAAGGAAGGTCAACTCCATGAGTCAGTGGTTATTTTCCATAGAAAACTAGGGATGAATGTGGAAGAGCAATTTACCAAAATATGTCAAGTAATGCAGTGTTCTTATATGAATGTTGTGATTAAATTATTCTGCTGCATGAAGGCAAACAGATTCTCCAAATGTAACGTCACTGCTGGTGTTAGGAGCTACTTAACTAAACTGGTCTAAGAATGCAAAGCAGCACAACCCTAAATTTAAAAAAAAAAAAAAAAAAAGGGAAAACAAAAAACTACAGAAATTTCCATCAGTTTTGGTCAAGGTAGAGCTTGAGCTCCAAAAACTGGAATAGTTCAATAAGTGGAAAGTGTTCTGTTGTGCTGGAGAGGAAGAAGTGCAGCCAACAGCCCAGCTTTAATTTTTCAACCAGGTCAGGGAGCTCTGGCAAGAGCAATGGTTCTTAAAAACAGCATCACGGTGGATCTGGAGATGTAAATGAACTCAATTGCTATGAAGACAGAGATGGGAAAGAGGTTTTCACTCCACCTTTCTTTTGTTTTCCTACAAACCCTCTTCGCAAAGTCACTGTCAGATCTAGACTCAAAGATAAATGAGTTATGCTGCATATTACCTGACTGAAGGAGAACAATCCAGCTACCTCAGCATAGCCAGAGAGTGGCTATTTTACATATCCCACAGTATTCTGCCTGGCTTCCAGCAGCTGCTCCAAAAAGTCACATTAGCCTTGTGTTTTCTTGCCAGTCCCATGCAGATGCCTCAGATATAGATCATCCTAAATAGCACAAAGAGCTTGTCCATTTATAAGCACTGAACTTAACCTGTAGGTGTCTCCATCAAAACTGTATTCCCTAGAAGCCTTTCAGAATCAATGGAGATTAATGGACAATGCTGACCTCTGCATTAGGTTTCCTCTTGAGAATGAGATCTTTGGTGGCCTGGAGGCACTGACCACACTGGTTAAAACTTTTTTGCTCTCTGGGGACCAGCTGTAGTAGTGGACATCTGTGGGTGCCTGTTGTAGAACTGGATCATTAAAGATGTCATTAAACTTTCAAGATGCCATTGAAGTCTTCTTCATAAATATAAATAGCAACCCCAGTGATACTGGGAGGTTTTATTGGGTTGTGTATCAAGGGGAGGGAGGGTATGTCTTGGGTTTTGCTTCTGCAATGTCACGTTTCCAACTGCATTTGACCTAGGGGACATCAGCAGAAACTGCACTGAAGATGGCTGGTCTGAACCTTTTCCTCATTATTATGATGCCTGCGGGTTTGATGAAAATGAAACAGAATCTGATAACCAGGTGGGAATTAATTTTAGAATTTTAAACGAAATAAGGTGTGAGCAGCAGGTTGTTTTTAGTCCAGCCTCTGCTCGTGTTCTGATTTGATGCTGATTAGAATGAAACAATCAGATATTCATGGGCGTAAATATCTGAGAAGCAAGATTTAAATCCTTCCTAGCCCTGTACTGAATATTTCCAGAATATGAGCATTTACTGTTGAGGGATCCTGTAACTGCTAGAAGCCTGGGTTACCCCCCAGTTCTTCCACTGTTGATTAAGGAATCCCTTAGCCAGCTACTTTTCTTCTATTGATCCACACACAGTGGTAAAAGAAAGATAAGCAGGGCTTTCTAGCTCACTGACAAATAGCTTCACGGTTTTGCAGACCCAGGAGTGCAGCAGACACAGAACAATGCTTTAATACACAGAGATCTCAGGGGAACCATGAGAAGAAAATAACTAGGTTGTTCAAGAAACAAATCCTGCCTGTGGTTCCCCCAGCGTGTTGACAGGGTAAGGAAGGTGTGACCATAGATGAACTGTTTAACCACGTGTTGTTTGCCTCCCAAGGATTACTACTACCTGTCTGTGAAGGCTCTGTACACAGTGGGATACAGCACTTCTCTTGTTTCCCTCACCACTGCCATGGTTATCCTCTGTCGTTTCAGGTGAGTCAGGACATGAGCAGTGGGCTGCTCAGTCATTGAAGGAAAGAGGCTGGAGCTCATCAGCCCAAAGCAATGTTTGAGGTTTTATCTCGCCAGATGTAGAGTAAGAGGGAGACAACCCTTTAACAGAGTCATTCCCCCAGCTTGGACACACTCCAGTAGTCACATTTTGCTGGACTGTAGATGCAACTGTAGAAGCTGTACATCTCTTTAATACAATGGCAGTAGCCACATTGAGCTGGGTCTGTTTTGGTCTGCCCTGCCTGTTTTACAGGAAAAACCCAAATCCTCCTCTTGGTCAGGTTTAGGGTCAGTATTATTCACACTCTTGACTTCCAGATGTGGATATTCTTATCACCAAGGTGTTAGGAGCTCCAGCCATATGTGCAGATAGGCTTAGTGTGTTTTTCCATGAAAGAAAAGGCTTTTTTTTTCTTCTTTTCCTCTCCCTTGCTCTTTCCTCTCTAGGAAGCTTCACTGCACTCGAAATTTTATCCACATGAACCTCTTTGTTTCATTCATTCTACGTGCAATATCTGTATTCATTAAAGATGGGGTTCTTTATGCAGAACAGGATGGCAACCACTGCTTTATCTCAACAGTAAGTAAAACCAAACTCAGAGCCTTTCCTTTTCTTTATTTCAGCATGAGATAACAAAAAATAGCCAGACAGGCAGCAGCCTGTTGGGTACCATAGGCTGAGAAGCTATTACAAGAGAAGGTAATAGGTGGTAAACTTCCCTCCAGGTTCACAGCAAAACTGTGGATGGTATTGTCTCATTATGTCATTGGTGTCCAGTGGTCTGTCCCTTCAGACAAGCCTTCAGGTTTTGGTCTCTGACTGCAAGCAGGTTGTTTCTCCCTTTCACAGATCCGCATAAAGGTAGGTAGGATGAGAGCAGACACAGCAGTTTTCTTCATCCAAAGGTCTGCTTTTTCTCCAGAGCCTTGTTTGTTCTGAGTGTCAGGCAGAGTGCTGTGTAGAAAGGGTGACCATTCAGGCATAGAAAATACCCCTAATGGCCAGACTCTCAAAAAATCATTAATATTAACCACAATTTTGTCTCTAGAACGTATGGTTTCATGGAAAGCAGTCTCATTCACAGATGCACTTGCATTTAATCCCAGTTCCTTTCACATTTAAGGTCGTATTTTATTTGATAAATCAGCTCACCAGATGTAATTATGACAGAATTACAGTGAGTTCCCAAACTGAGATCTTTATCCATCCAATTATGAGCTAAATTCACTCTGAGTCACTTTCACAATGAAAGTGCAGCTGTGTAGTGTCTTAGTCAGCCTTTTCTTTGTCATTGAAACTAGTCTTTGCTTTTAATTTTCCTCATGATAAAGCTGAAAAAGTGTTAGATCTGTAGAATGTTCACACCACTCTTCTAATAGTTGCATCTGCATCTTTGTTTCAAAAAACTTGAATCATAAAACACTTTAAAATCAACCATCTATTAGCCAGATCTTCAGATGTGGTAGAGCTTCCATAAAGAAACTCAAGATCTGATGGTTTCTACATACTGGCTGTAGATTTACCCCAGAGGATGCAGTACAAATGGGAACCAGTCTAAACTGTGAGCCTTACACTGCCCCAGGCAGGAGCTTCCAGTTTATACACTTATTCTGCTCTGACTTGTTGAAAAGTCCTACCTGTGTAGGACAAATGACATCTCACTGAGATGAAACATTGGAAAGGCAAGTGTGTCTTATTCTCACAGTCAGAGTAGAGCTTGGTTTCCACCTAAGGCTTTTATCATAGAAGCACAGAATTAAAGACCTTTAAGATCATCGAGTCCAACCATTAACCCAACACTTCCCAGCCCACCACTGCCCCATGTCCCTCAGCACCATCGCCAGGGCTTGGAAACCCCTCCAGGGATGGGGACTCCCCCCCTGCCCTGGGCAGCCTGGGCCAGGCCCTGACAACCCTTGCCAGGAAGAGATTTTTCCAAATATACAGCATGAGCTAGTGCAACTTGAGGCCATTACCTCTTGCTCTAAGACTTATAACTTGGCAGAAGAGACCAACCTGCCCCTTGCTCCACCTTCTTTCAGGTAGTACTGGAGCACTAGTGATAGTCTCCCCTTAGCCTCCTTTTCTCCAAGGTAAACAACCCAAGTTTCTTGATTATTTTTGTTTTTGTTTTTTTTCTATTGCGTTCTGCTTTTACTCCCAGTAAATTAATTAAAACTTATATTGTTTTTACAGTAAACACTCCCTTTCTTGACACTTCTGCTCACTTTCCTTTACTCCCACTAACACAAGTTCTCAAGCTCCTTGCAGAGGCTCATCAGCCACTTCCCACTGGTAAAATTGGCTTCCTGACCTTTCAAGCTTCATTCTTTTAAGTGGACCTCATGTTCTTCTCATGCTTTTAAAACTTTACTATTAAAAGTGTGTAATACCAGTCCCAGTTGTGTTCCTTTCCAAGAAGAGATCTAGAGAGACTGAAAGCATTTTCTCTATCTGCTAAGTGGAAACAGTACAGAAATAACTTTGGTTTTCTTGATTCTCTGCAGGTGGAATGCAAAGCAGTGATGGTGTTTTTTCACTACTGTGTCATGTCCAACTACTTCTGGCTTTTCATTGAGGGATTGTACCTTTTCACTTTATTGGTAGAAACCTTTTTCCCAGAGAGGAGATATTTCTACTGGTACACTATTATTGGTTGGGGTATGTAACATTTCTTGATTAAAATCTGTCCTAGTGTGCAAGAGGAATCCACAAGCCATCTAATATTTCCACATATAATTTCTACATACAGTTTAAGTCTCTATATAGAGGTACCACTGCAGACCAAGCTGTTCTGGCTGCATAGGGTTGAACTGAAATCTGGAGGACACCACATCTCTTGTAGAGATGTAGTCCACAGTTGTGAATAACACTCCACAAGTTATGATCTTAATGCTAACTCCTTCACCTTAATCAAATCTGCAATGCTAAGTCTAGTCCATTTTCTAAGACTTCATTTGTGCCTTTCTCCCAGATAACAGCTACATTGAAAATGTACCCAAAGGGTATATATGCTTATGGTACCTGGAAGGGAAATAGAAACTTGCAATGGGAAGAAACAAGATTTGTTTCAGAAAGGCCAGTTGTACAATGATAGCCAGTGTAATGTTCTTTTTTTTATTTTCACCTTCTAGAGAGAAATTGATTCCAGCAACATGTTAATTCAAACAGTTTTTTGCTGACTTTTTTGTGCAGAAGTCAGATGGTGAATGTAGAAAAATACGTTAATTTTAAACGTGTCCTCAAGAAAGTTAAGCTCAGTTTTTAATCTTAAACAAACATACTACTGATATAATCTGGAATTAATACTGTATATGTGTGTGTAAAATCTGCATAGCAACCACATGCCTTAAACTATTCTCTTCTTCTTCTTAAACTGCTGTATATGTGTGTGTAAAATCTGCATAGCAAACACATGCCTTAAACTATTCTCCTTTGAAAAAAAATACCCTCAAGTAAACTAAACCTTCAAGTAATCAACAGCTGGTTTTGTTTTTCCCCCCTGAGGCAGCTGTATACACAAAAAAACCTCCCATCTCCTGGCATAGACTCCTTGCAACAGGAGCAAAGGTATAGAGTCAAAAGAAGAGAACAGGTGATTGGAAATAAACTTTGGCATATAAAGGCTATTGGGAAATAAACTACTGAAAAAGGATGTTCAATGTTCCTCTTGTA